GGACCAGTGGGGAGCTCAGCCCATCCGTGAGCAGAGTGGCTGGGAGGGATTGGCTGCACCCCAGGGAGCGCTTGCTCAGAAGGGAAGGTCTGGGAGAGCCGCACCGCAGCTGTGAGGGGCTCACATAGGCGGGAAGGGAGGAGAGGCAGCTGTCACCCCATCTCCTCTCCCTTGTGTTCCTGCTTGAATTGCTGGTTGGCTTTAAACCCGGGGCGGTTTAGAGAGCTGGCTAGTCAGGTACTATGAAAGCAACTCAGCCCAGACCCACAACCCCCTGCTGTTTCCATCCTCAGCTGCCATCCCCCAGCCCTGGGCTCCCCCCATGCCACCTGCAGCTCCTGCTCCCCTCCAGCCAAGAAGAAAAGCAGAGGGAGCAGCTGTCCCCCCAAGCAATTCCCAGGTGGGCCGGGTTGGTGAGGACAATGGAAATACCCATAGCGGGAGGTCATGTCCCGCTGCCTCATTTTGCTGAATGATCCCCATGACTCCAGTCCAGCGTCTCTCCATCCAGACAGCAGCAGGGCTGACCACTTCCTGCAGCTCGCGCAGGTTTAAAACCCAACGCCTCCCACAGAGCCTTTAACCTCTAAAGCACCCGCCTAGATCCATCCTGGACCCTAGCGAGCGACTGGGCCGGGGGCTATCTCAAGCGGCGCAGGTGATACAGGACAAAGCCACCCCTGGTTTTGTCTCAGGACTGAACACAGGACAAGCCACAGACAAATAGGGCTGCCCAGCTTCCCACCGGAGAAATGGCCAGCCTACTGCTGAAAAACCTTTCATCTAGTGGAGAAAGGCAGAACGGAAGTCCAAGCCGGACAAATTCAATTGAGAAATACAGCACCGATTTGATTTAACAGTGTGGGTAATCAAGCATGGGGAACCAACTCCCAAGGGAAGGTAGGTAGTGGGGTCTCTGTCTCTTGATGGCTTCAGATCAACACTGGTTTCGTTTCTGGACGAGACACTTTAACCAACCAACCAACCATCGAGTTGTGGGGCTCGATATAGCGATAACTAGGTGAAATTCTCTGGCCTGTGGGATTCAGGAGGTCAGGCTCAATGACGTAAGATCTAATGACCTTCTGACCTAAAAATCTATGACCCTGAGCCAATCACTTTCCCTCTCCGGGCCCCCAACCCTCTCTCAGGCCTTGGCTACACTTACCCGCTAGTTCGACGGCTGGAAATCGAACTTCTGGGTTCGACTTATCACGTCTAGTCTGGACGCGATAAGTTGAACCCGGAAGTGCTCGCCGTCAACTGCGGTACTCCAGCTCGTCGAGAGGAGTACCGCGGAGTCGACGGGGGAGCCTGCCTGCCGAGTGTGGACCAAGGTAAGTTCGAACTAATTCGAACTAAGGTACTTCGAACTTCAGCTACGTTATTCACGTAGCTGAAGTTGCGTACCTTAGTTCGAATTAGGGGGGTAGTGTAGACCAAGCCTCAGTCTTGTCCATTTAGACTGGAAGCTCGCTGGCGCAGGGACTGTCTCTTAGACCAGGTCTACTTTTGCCGGTATGATAAAGTTGGCTCGGGGTGTGATTTGTTTTTAAGGACGATTTTATATCAGCAAAAGCCTCAGAATGGACAAAGTTATACTGAAAAAATGTCCTTTTACTGGGATAGCTAATTTTGTTTCAATGAACGGGTCCAAACCAAACTGGCAAAAGCACACTGCTGTTTGTAGTTGCTGTATCTGCTCTAGGATGGTTTGAGGGTAACACCAAATCTTTTCAATGTGGGCTAGACCTAAATCACCCCCCCTCCCCCAGTTGATTTAGCTGTGCCAGCAAAGTCTCCAATGGAGTCACAACTGTGCTGACAGATGAGCGTGTCTGTTGGCTTAGCTGATGTTGTTTAGGGAGCTGGCATTGCTAAGCTAGCAGAACTCCTTCTGTCAGCACATGGTGTATCTACACTATGCCAGCGTAGGATCTGTAGTGTAGACGTGGCCTAAAAACTGTCTGTCCAGCGCTCACCACAATCGGGGCCACAACGAACACTGCTAGCTGGCAGACGGAGGTGTAAGAAGCCTGTTTTGCTGCCCCACATGCTGTCTCTATCCTGAGGATAAATATGGGACTCAGGGGGTCATTATCTCAGCACTTAAAAGCATCAAGGAGAATTTAACATTTAAAGGACCTTGCTTGGTTTAATCCTTCTTTTGATCATCCCTGCAATACGTTTCCTCAGCAAGAACCCTTCCCAACCCCATAACTGCCTTTTATTGTTCCCGCGTCAGCATAATTGCTCGTGTCTTACCCCTCTGTAGAAACCTCGCCATCTCTGAAGCACTGTAGGCAGGATGAGTCAGTCGGGGATGAGCTGTTTTAAATATGTCCCTTTCTGATGGGGGAAAAAATGCTTCCCACAAGAAAAGGAAGCTTTTTTTTTAACCTTCTTAATTGGGTAAAGATGTTCTCTTGGCATATTAAAGAAACCACCAGCTGCAGAGATATAATAATGTGGGGTTTGTGGAAAGCAGAGGAGAATAGGCAGGAACTGTACAGGGACCTTGCTCTCCAACTAGAAGTTATTTTGTAAATGGGATGACTGGCTTACAGGATCGGAAAATTAATCTGTCTTTAAACCTAACCTTCCCACCCAGCAGGACCTTGGCATTACGCTAATAATATTCCCTGCCTGAAAAAGCTACATTAAAAGAATGATGACATTTACAAATCAGTGAATGCCAAAGGTTGCCCGTATCCCCTTAACTCTGCCCTGGCCCCTTTGAGACAGCGTTCTGCTGCTGTCTGGAAAATGGTGCCCCAAGCTGCCATTTCTTTGTTTTGCAAATTCCATACCAAAAACTACATTAAAATAATGTTAAAGTTGCAAAGTCAAGCTCTGGAAAGGAAATGCCAAAGAGAAGGTTGCCTGTAAAACTCTGTCCCCATCTACGTGCATTGTGTGTTTAGGGCAGGTCAAAAGTTTTCTGCTGAAAATATTTTTTGGTGGAAAATTGGGTTTTTGATTAAATGATTTTTGTCATGAACAGTGTCTGCTTCCCTTGGAAAATTTCAGTTATTTGTAAAAAAAAGGAAACAAAAACAAATGCCCCCAAAGCAGAAAGTTTTTCAGCCAACCCAGGAAATATTTCAATTCGGAAATACTGCTGCGGTGCTTCATGGGTTTTGTAGCTTGGGTGCCTCATGTCATCTGGACTCCCCAGTCAGATTACATCTTCCATGGTGCACCAGGGCCCGGGACTCCCATCATGCAGAGAGGGGCCTGCGGTGCAGGCCCCAAAGAATTTACAATTTAAGCGCAAGACATCACATGGAGACATCCCCTTCTCATTGTCCAGCATGTGCACTGAATGAGGCAGGGGGCTTGACAAATAAAAATAGTATGTGCTGATGCAGTGACAGATGGTCTCAGGGTACAGGTGCAAATGGGCAGAGTTCAGGTTACATGGGGAACCGTGAAACAGCTGAGCTGCACGGGGATGAGCTGATGAGAGGTGAAACGACGCCACAGTGTCAGAACCCCACCAGGCTGCATGCTGGGCCTTGAGGAGACCCCTGGGCTGAAGGCTGAAGGCCATGGGCCCCTGGGGCTTGAGGCAACCCCCCAGCTTGGGCTCCCTGAGGTGACCCTCGCCCCTGCCTGGAGCCCATGGCCCTGATGGCTTTGAGGCGGCCCCAGGGAGGGCCTCACAAGGCTCCACCCTGGCTGAGCCCCTCCCCCTCAAGCCAGACCCCCCCAGGTGAGCCCCTCCCCCTCAATCCCCCCTCCTGGCTAAGCCCCTCCTCCTTCTGACTGAGCCCCTCCCCCTCAAGTCAGACCCCCCCAAGTGAGCCCCTCCCCCTCAATCCCCCCTCCTGGCTAAGCCCCTCCTCCTTCTGACTGAGCCCCTCCCCCTCAAGTCAGACCCCGCCCAGGTGAGCCCCTCCCCCTCAATCCCCCCTCCTGGCTGAGCCCCTCCCCCTAACTCCTCCCACCAATGAGGGCCCCGCCCAGGCCTCGAGCGAAACGGTCTCGGCTCCTGGGCAGCCCGCCCCCCGCCCGCAGGGGACACCAATGAAACGCAGGGGTCGAGGCTGACCTCCGATCAGAGCCCAGAACAAGACAGGTTGGGGCAGGAGGACGCGCCGAGGAGT